TAGCATCTGTTTCTGTTTCTCCTTCTGTCTCCCCCTCTCCCTCCTCAAGGGCCTCCTCGCCCGTGGGGGCCTCCGCGGGCTCCAAAAAAGGCCCAAAAGAATACCATCGATTTTCAAATGGGTCCTCCTGAAGGCCCGTGGAGGGGCCTTCAGGAGGGGCTTCACAGGGGCCCCCGAGGGGTCCCCTTGATGGGCCTTGCCCATTTGAAAGGAATGGAGAGGGCCCAACTGAAGGGCCTTCCCCATTCCTCTCAAATGGCCAAGATGCCTCAACCGGGACTACACAGTCTGGGCTGGGTCGCTTGCCCTCCCCGTCACGCAGCAGACATCTCTGCTCCTGAATATCTCTCCTCTTGCTCCTGCAGCTGCTGGAGGTGGCGTGCAGCAGCCGTGCGAGTCCTAGAGAGCTGCTGGAGGAGCTGCCCCAGTCCTCCTGTGGCGGCTGCAGCCGGGGCCTCGCAGCGACAGGAGAACAAGGAGCCCCTTGGGGGCCCTCCTGAGCACGCTCCTGAGCTCCGCCACTGAGGGCCCCATACACGCCGTCCGGAGGGCCCCCATTTTCTGCCCTTAAAGCTTCTTCAGCGGCAGCGCCGCACGAGTTACTGGGAGCCAGCTGCTCCGTCTCCAAGTCGTGGCAGCTGCAAGGGCAGGGCGGCAGTCCCTTCTTCCGCGTTTGTCGCCTCTCTTCATCATCTGGCCCCGAAGAGGGCCTCTGGGGGCCCCCGTTAGAGGTCCAGCCGTGCACCCAGTTCAGCAGCTCCTCGAAGCGCATGCTGCGGTGGGGGCCCCCATAGGACCAAGAGGGCTCGCAAAGCAAACAGTGTAGGCCCCTGCGGCTCAGAGCCGCACAGATGAGGGTGCTGGAGATGCTGCTGCCCAGAACCGCCACATCTACCACAACTGAGCCGCCTCCGGAGGGCGGGGGCACCCGCACGCAGGGGACCTGCAGCACTGCTGCCTCTTCTTCTTGTCGCTGAGGCGCAGCAAGTAGACGCTCGCCCTTGTCGGCTTCTTGTGCATCCCGCCCGCCCTGCTGTTGCTTCAGTTCGTGCTGAGGCTCCTGCTGCTGTGGCTGGTGCGGCTCCAGGCCGCAAGAACCGGATCGAGCTGGCCTTCCCGGCTCGGCCGTACCGTCGACAGCCGGAGGGAGCCTTGATGGTTCATGCTGGCTGATAGATTCGACTACTTTCTCCCGCTGTTGCCCTTCCTTCGGCTGACGTTGCTGCGGCTGCGGCTCATGCTGCTGAGGCGGTGACATGGGCGCACGGGGGTATCGGGGCTCCCCCCCGTGTCGCGCCCTAATGGCTGTCCGCGTTCCTTTTGAGCTCTCTATGAAGACAACAAAAGATGAGATAATACAACACTCTAGTTGCACGGCCCTCCTGAGGCAGAAATAGGCAGATCTGCAACAACGTCGGTGCCGCTTTGGTCGAGGCTGCCGCAGCTTCTGTTGCTGCCAAGGCGCTCACAACAACAGCTGCTGCATGCCAGTGCACCTGATAAAGCCGCAGCGACAGTGGAGAGAGATGAGACTGCAGCCAGCGCTCCTCCAACGCTGTGATTGCTCAGCAACAGCCCGAGGCGCGAGAGACAAGGGGAACTTAGCTCATGTTTGCATCTGCAAGAGAGAGTATGAAATAAATTTGCACAGAAGCGAATATAACAGTTAGGACAGCCCTATAGGGCTGTTGCTACGTCTCAGACGGGCCGTAAACTGACGACCGAAGTAGAACGTGCGGTCCTGCCCTAGATGCCCTATGCCTTTCCGTGCATTTGCACGTCTCACTTGACAATCAAATTAAGCTCTACAACTATATACTATGATATAAAACTAAAGTTCACACATTCTGCTAAGGAACAGGCGCAAGTCCAGACTACCGGTAGGGCCCGTTGTGCAAGCAGTCCTGCACACAGCCAACATCAGCACAAGCAGCAGCAAGAGAAAAGGGCCCTGGCCTTCACGGCAGCTGGGCCGAATGAAGGGTGTTCTGGGCTGTGACAAAAAGCTTCAGATATTAAAACTGATGTCTAACGCAATGCATGAAATCTCTGTCCTATTTGGCGTTCCACTGTTGCGCAAACAGTGCTCTAACGGTTGCGGTTCCCCACGGGCAGGTTGGCACAGCTGGCTCCATGTAGCTCCTGCAGCTATTACGCTCAGCTGCGCCCATGATTATCACCACAAGAGTCTGCATGAACTATAAGTACATACCTAATTGGGGCTTGGAGGAAAGAGGCCAACCCCCCTGGCTTACCAGCTGTGAAAGGTAGCTTGATTTGTGGCTCACGTGAGGAAGACGAACTGAATAATGCGATTTTCTATGGCCTTCATGCACATATCATGTAGGCAGACTTCATTACTCTTCAGAAGCACTCGGCGGTATTTCTTGTGCGTATGAAGGCATCTTCGCGCAGCCATTACGACGCAGGTCAACCCATGGGGCTCGTGACCGTAAGGGGCTGCAGCAGTTGCAACAGCGAGCGACCATAACTTCTAGAACAGCACCTACATATTAGAGATGTTTTGATCTAAGACAGTTTTACTCATACTGCTCTACAGTTACAGCCGCTTAGCGCCTTTTGAGTGACTAGAGCGAAGAGCTTTCGGTGTGGTGTAGCACTGCGCCGCAATGCGGGAAACTGCTCCCTGCATTAAAGAGCGAAGGCCTGAAAATAGCATCTCCTCGGCGGCTCAAACATTTTGTGGCGGTGGGGTGATTATGACTCCAACCCCGAAACGCCCTGATAGCCTTTGCCGCTCTCGGTCTCGGGCCATCAGCTTTTTACATAAAACGTTGACTCTCAAACGGTGGTTCTTGAAGTGCTTCATCGAAGCTCCCCGGCGCCGCTTTCTCTTGTGGCGGCTAGGCTGTGGAAGGCAGAGCCCTTACGGACCAGGCACACCCCTTCGTTGCGCTGAGCAGCATGTCAATCACACAGCTACAAAAGCACACCCCTTCGTTGCGCCGAGCAGCATGTCAATCACACAACTACAAAAGACAGGCACACCTCTGCGTTGCGCTGAGCAGCATGTCAATCACATAACTACAAAAGGCGTCACGCCTCTCCCCTACATTCGCTAGAAGCGTTTGGATTCATTCTCCATCAACTTCTGCGTCCGACACCTACGAAGTGTCGATGGCTTCCAGATGACTACGGTCTCCTGCACGATTTTTTGCAGCCGATCAAGAATTTCTGCACGCAAAAGCTGGCACAAATGAACTCGCCAGTATGAATTTTGGGCAAATGGTCTCCTGCTTGTAGGACAGATTAGCCATCAACCGCTGAACCCCGCCACATTTTTTGTCTGTTCCTACAGGCTTTGTTGTGCCGCTTCAGTGTTTCCCACGGGCTTTCGTTGCACAATGCCCACTGCGATCTTTGTGCACAAGAAGACCTTCAGCTAAATTTTCAGAACGCCCTCTTGCACCACGTACCTTCCTCACCGCTCAGTTCTCCCTGAATGATCCACTGTGCCTTCCAGCACATTTACAGTAGTGGAATTGCGGGCGGCCTCAATGCGACAACCTGACGTGCACTCATTATGAAAAGGAAAGGAAAGCGCTTTCTCTTCGTATCCACTCCCAAAAAGCTATTGCCGCAAGCTTCTTGTTCTGCATGTACTGCTTTCACGACGCACCCACTTATGTAGCCACGCCACTCCGGTGCTTCTCTGACAGAGGCCAAGGAGACTGCGCTAGCACTGTCCCAAAAAACTGATGCAATTCCCAGACTGGCCCTCTTCCTCTCACGCCTGACGGAAAGTCCTTTCAGCTTGGCAGATGCTGTCTACATACTGCCCCTCTACTGCTTGCCCTACTCGCCGCATTCACGGCGGGGTTTGCCAAGGGGACCACATGGCGCTGCCGCTATTCCAGCTCTTCTGAGCCGGTTGCCTCTTGTAGTTGATGCCGTATTGTCTCCGAAGCTATTTGCTGAATGCATCAGATTTTGGCTTCCCTACCGGATACTTCTTGAATTCCCCTGGTACATTCTTTTGGTGGCCCTGCGCGACTTGCTGTTATTCTGCATTCTTTGGCGCCAGCGGATTCTCATTAAAAAATAAAAGGGATGATTAGAAGCGACTCGCAGCAAGTGCCTTTCCTTCGTATTCATGTTGATTGGAGGAGTGCGTCGCCAGTAATACTCAAGCAGCACAAATTGTGTCGCTCGTTTTGCACCAAAAGGCTAGAAGCAGGCAGTCTGAGCAGAAGCTTGGCCTAAATGAGCTCGCTGAAGTACGTTCAAGAGCCCTACAGATGAGCAGCGCCACTCAGACACGCAAGCCTCCACGTGAGGGTTGGTTGGTTTGCATGGTGATCCACTCCTCTCTTAAGGAAAGCAACATAGAGCAGAGTCCATGTGATTTAAATGCAGCAATGGCTGAACAATGAGGAAGCATCACTGTAATTGCGTCCGGCCTCGCAGTGGCACAAGTTCAGATTTCCAGATTCGAAACAGCATTCCAGCCGGGACCCATGTTGAATCCTTACCCAGTTTATCCTCGAAATAGAGCTAGCTACGCGGTATATCTTCTATCAGTTTTTCTCAAGAGTCCTTAAATGCCTATCGGGTAACGTCCAACAGTGTTCCAGGCGGTTGGAATCGCGAGCAGCGAGTGAGAGCCTACAGCTTGCCCGTTTCTATTCTCTGGTATATTTGTTTTGCCTTGGCTTTGCAATATCTGTAAATGCTTCTAGCAACGTTTTGGTTGTGCAAACCATTCTTTCTACGTGGGGGGCCTTTGTTGGGTCATATTAAAGGCAGAACTGGGATTTTCCACATTTGTCTGAGGAGACAGTTAAGGGTCACTTTGCGATGGAAAAAGCCACGGGACCTCGAAGGAGGCTATCAGAAAGATTCTACTTCTTAAAACAAGTCTACTTTTTTCAAATTATAGTAGCTTGAAGGGCCCAGGTAGAATGACGTATTTCCAAAAGGCCAGGAAGTAGCTTCAATCCAACGAATTGCGGTTGGCAGCTCAGAGGCCCGCAGGAAACATGGTTTTACAGCACCACCACCTCCACCACCAACGGCCACCAGAGACAGAGTGTGAATCATATAAACGAATGTCTCATCTCAGCCAAGACTTCCACCCAGGAGAAGCGGGCTGCTGGTATGGCTCTGTGCTGAGTGTACCCAGCTCAGAACGCCAATGCAGCGTCTCCAAACAGTAAGGGACACACACCCTGACCCATTTCGTAGTAGCAGGAACAGTGCTGCTCAAGAACAAGGCGACCGGAAGCAGCAGCAAAAACAACCAGTCGCAACAAGTGGCGTGGCGCACTGAACATTACACAGCTCCTGGGCAGAAAGTTGCATATGAAGCGACCTGTGCGCAGTTTCAAAGACAGAGCCAGAAGAATGGCGCGCAAGAACAGGAGCAGCGGGAGCAGGGGCAGGCAGAACAGCAGCAACGGGAGCACGAACAAGTGCAGCAGCTGCAAGAGCTGGAGCAGGAGCACCAGCGGTCAAAGCAAGCCGAAATGCTTCCACAGCAAAAGAAACAACAAAAGCAGCAAAAGCAGCGCAACTCATGTGAATGCAAGGCCCCCGGGAAGTAGCACCCTGAAGAATCATTCGAGGAGCAGCAGCAGGCGCTTTTGCGGCAGCAGCACGGCGCACAACTGCAGCAGCAAAACCCTCAGCAGCATAACCAAGACACTCTGGAGCAGCAGTGAGGGACACATCATCATCAGCAAGACATGTTGCTGCAGCATCAACAATTAGAACAGCCTCTCCAAGGCACGGAGCAGCCAAAGCATATCGTTCACGGGGACAGCCAACAGCAGGGTGGAAGAGTGGAGCTGGAAACAGAGCAGAGGAAGCCACGGCAGTGGGATGCGGGCGTAGAGCAAGAGCTGCAGGAGCAGAAAAGGGGAGAGGTGGATATATTCCTCCATACAAAAGGGCGCGAGCCAAAGCAATGTGTGCAACAGCACGACGCATCAAAGCCGACTGTGCAGCTTGGAGGGGAGTCCCCAGATGTTTGCCCGTCTCCACGGTCTCACTCCACACTCAGTTGAGAAACTTCTCCTTCTGAGTTGGGCCACAGCTACGAGGTACCACCTTAGTGCAACACGTGCCTTCGCCCTCTCCCCCTAACCGCTTCCCGTGAACAGCACCATCATGGGGGGCATGTTGATCCTCAACAAGCAAAAAGGGACACCAACTTTATCTCACGGAACGTGTACGTAGACGTCTTATGTGTGCCCTTAACCGCACGGGCACAACCTGCATCTGCGTCCGCTGGCCGAGTGCGCCGCGCCAAAAGCATCGCAAACGGCAACAGCTGCAGCAAGGAAAGGAGCAACAACAGCAACCGTTGCACCACCTTCCATTACCAGAGCTGCTGTCGCATACTCTGCAACCAAGCAGTATAAACACTTCAGTTGTTTCCTCCAATACCCTCCAGCAGGCACAGGGACATCAAGGGCCTGTGAACATAGCGGTAAGGCGGGTGATCTTTCAAGCTGTTGCCGCTGCAGAGCTGGAGGATATTGGAGGAAACAACTGAAGTGTTTATACTGCTTGGTTGCAGAGTATGCTGCTGCTATTTGGCCTTCTGCTGCTGATCCAAGAGTGCCGCCTGAGTTCCAGCAAGCTTCTGCGTTCGCTTTGCGTGGAAAAACAGCTAAACAGGGACCCCTCGTAGGCATAGAACAGCGACAGGCATCCTCGCTGAATGCCCCCACCTTGGCTTCTTTGCTGCGGCCTGCTGTAGAGCCGCGGAGACTCGGAACTCCTTTCGTGAAAGTCCCAATGGCGGCTGCACGGGATGGAGCAGCACAAGCTGCAGTAGTAGGAGCTCCTCATGCAGCAAACGCATCAATTGCGGGGATACGTGCTCCTAGCTCTACAGACACACAAGCAACAATGGAAATGGAGTGCACGGCGGCAGCTGCAGTGGAAGCAAATCCAAAACATCTACAGGTGGTAGCAACGGCATCAGGCCAGAGGACCTGCAAAGCATGTGCTCCAATAGCCCAAGGAAAATCAGCAGCAAAAGCGGCGGTAGCAACAGCCGCTGCTAGAACGACGAAACCAAGAACAGAAGCGGTATCGCCCTCAACGTTCCCCAAAATGATAGCAAGAGCCGAAACAAGCAAAACTGTTCCCATTGTAGCTCTCAAGAAAGCCAACTGAACGGCACCAGCGGCTTCTGATCCTCTAGAAGAGAAGGAAACCCAAGGTGAGTCTTCAAAATTCGCAGAAAAATGGCTGTGTGGAGCAGGAGAAAGGGCTGCTGGTGCAGGTGCTGGTACCACCGCTTGTGCAGCTGCTGGTGCCGATAGGCCTCAACTTCCAAGCACCATTGCAAACAAAACCACAACCCCTTTGAGAACGACAGCAGACTAGGGCAAACTTTCTGCTGAGGCAAGCCCTGAGTTGTCAAAGAAGACAGAAGCGCGTGCTTCCTCTCATTTCGCTGCTGACGCTCAAAGTTGTGGGGCCCTGTGGAAAGAACAGCTCACTGAGGCACCCGGCGGGCAAGCGGCAAGGCCTCCCTTCAGCAAAAGAAAAACAAGCCACCCACAACAACATCAGCCGCAACGACGGCGACGACATCAGAAACCCCTGCGCCAAAGCACTACGGAGAAACTTACGCGAAAACCGAAAACCTCGCTGCATGCGTACTCTAGAAAGCCAGAACAAAGTGTTTGCCACCGCAAGCAGCAGCAGCATGAGCAGTTGCTGCATTCGCAGCAACGGTAGCAGTCGCAAGCGTAGGCATCTCCGAAGGAGCGAGACAACTACCAGCAGCATCACCGTCAGCAGCAGCTAGCAGTCCGAGCCAAAGCAGCACGAACGGCAAAGAAAGACGGAGCAGAAGTACCAGTAGCAGTTGAAGCGGCAACAGCGACAGTCTCAAGCTAAGAAAGCACACTCCCTTATCGAAGAAGTATTCTCTTCCATTCACCTGCTACAGAACAATACATAAACCTCCGGGGAGACATGTAGACTATGCGGCTTCAACGACATTGGAACAGAAGCAGACGCAAGTGCAGTGAGCGCAGCAGGAGCAGAATGTGCAGCTTCAGCTGTACCCAACTTTCCTGAAGTTTTGCAAAATAACCAAAAGCGAAGGCGCGAACGGTCCAGCACCGTTTGGTCTTGCTCGACGCGGAGTCAGGGAAGGGAGGTAGAGAGCCAGAAGGGGAGGAGGAGAAGCTGCCAGCAAGAGTTCCAAGGAACCAGGGATACATTTTTTCTCGGCCCGGCGACGCTGGTGCATACACCACTGCTGTCGCTGCAGTAGTGGAGGCAGTGAAGCTGCGGCAGCGTCTAATCCTCAGCGAACTTTCACGAATGAGGGGAAAGAGGTGCAGCGTAAGCAGCCCAGCAAGTTGCAGCAACGCAACGCCACGGGCAATTCCAGCTTCTGGAGTACCTTTGTCTAGCGGTGATTCCAGGTTTGGACTCTCCTGCCACGCTTCTCAACATCTTCAGCGCTTTTCATGCTCCTCTTGCAAAACGAACACCGAAGAGGCGAAGGTTTGTAAGGAGCCTTCAAAGCTCTCTTCCCTTGGCGTCAGCAGACTGAGGGACTGCTGTTGTCGCTTTGTCACGGCAGCAAATGCAGTTGCAGATTTAGGATAAGCCACATGGAGCAATTACTCCAGGCAAGCTTAATGGCCCGGCCGCCGCTCCGGTGGCGATTGCAGTAATCTTTGAAAGGGAGGATCCACAATTCCTCGAAGGACTCGCCATTCAGCTCGAAGATCAGTGCAGTGAAGGTTCCGCGGATGCTGCTTCCGCTTTTTGGTGCATATGATTTTACCAAAAATGGGCAGTGCCGCACTTTTGGGTATCGTGTACACTTTATTTCTATCGCTTTATTGGAATGGGTTACTCTCACCCGGCTTGCCATACGGGCCCATGGCTGGGTGTCAAGAGTTTAGGCTATGAGTTGAAACTAACAAGCAACTGTAGCAACGACGGAAGTCGGGAACTGCAATTTGTTATCCTTGTCAACCAAATCCGGGTATTTGCACCTTTGGGTTCAGCGATTCTACGTCTCTGATATACGGAAAGAGGCTTGTGACGCACACACACACACGAGGCACTACGATTCCCTTTAGATATGCTTTTACTTTGCTGTGCTAAGCTGCTTTTACGCTTTGCAGCGTGAAACTCAGATTTCTAGAGCTTGCACTCCACGCAAGTCTTTGCGCTTGCCCGTTCGCAACAAGTAGCCCTTCGGCGAGTCGCAACAGCTGATGCTGAAAACACGGCCGCCAGTTTCTTGAACTTTTCATACCACTGCAACAGTTGCGCGAGCGGGATGCCTGCGCCAGGTCATGTTGGTAAAACCAGACGCGGAACGAAATTATGATGCCGCGGGACTGAAATCTAAACCGTGAAACGACAGAGTTATTCCTTTCGTGACCACACTCTGCTAAGATTGCCTCGGCTCAGCAGATTTCGGGTTGTACTGTTCCTGGTTCAGCAGATTTTGGGGTGGACTGTTGCCGGTGCACAACATCGGATGCTTAATGTGCTTCATTGTTGCCTTCTGCTGCCTTTGCTCCACACTGAGCACAAGTTTCTTCGTTGAACTCTAAGGACATTGCTGTGCGTCTAACGTTTGGTATTTGCATAAACATGTGAATGCATGCATATCTCCGTCCGTCCGTATGTTTGCTTTTGAGAATGTGTGCACGCAGCTCCTCGCCGCAACGCAGGCGTGTTCGGTACGCCTCCGCGCGAGTGCAAAACCTTCAAAGCTGAGTCAGCGATTTCGATTGATTCCCCAATAATCTACAAGCACCGTGCCACTTTTCAACATGACGTCTGGTTAATGATACGTGAGCATCATCAACACCAAAAAGGCTGACGTATGCCTGGTGATGATGGCACACCAGGTAAAACACTGCCATGCGCTGAAGGATTCACCCGACGCTGGCCATCGAGCAACCAAGGAAATTCTGTATCTCGATGCATTTCGGCATGCACGTAGAAGTTAGTTAGAGCGGTCATCGGGAATAAGCTGTCCCATCCTGGTTGTGCTAGTCACTCAAGTGGAGATGGGAATGCATGATGGTTGTTGACACCATAAGGAAGCAATTTCAGAAGTCCTCCGCGAGCTCCACCTAGCAATGGCGAGCTATGTAGCACCAGGCCATAGTAGATATGAATGTCGCGAAGTTCCGGATGCTACAGCATGCATCAGCACGACTACTACAATTTCGGCTCCTTCCGGCTCCTGAGGTATTCTGAAGAAAGCTGCTCGCCGGCGAAGTCGTGCACCACTCGTTCAAACCAGTTATAGCGCTGCTTATCCCTTACCTCCTGCAGCAATGGCAACACAGACAGCAAAAGCAGTAAAAAACGCAGCAGCAGCAACAACACTGGAGCGACTCTACCAGGGCAAGCCGCGGTGCAAGCATCTTAACTGAAAGTGATGCCAGCCTTGCGTTGTGGAGCTACAGTCGTAGCCAGCAACCCTCCCTCCCGACCCCTAAACCGTGTAAACCGAGTAGACCCAAAGGCGCACCTGGCGATATTCCGCTACGAGGTCAGCCATCTTTCTCATAGCTTCCTTCACTTGTTGCTGCCTGAAAAAATTACTGCCAACACTCCCAGCCCTAAGCTCTAAACCCTGGATACTGAGCGCAAGGGCGCAGCTTCACACTTTCAGCCGCAAAGCAGCGTCCTACAAAGGGCCGCTTCCTTTAGAGTTAAGACGCAGTAGCCCCAGTTCCTCGTCCTATCTCGTCTTTGCTGTGGGCCACGCCACACGCTCTTGTTGCTTCTTCCACAGGATAGCTGTCTGCTAGTCTCTTTGCTGCTATTAAATGAAACCAATAGTTACAGCGTTTTGGCACTGGGATTGAGCAATGTACTCACCTAAACTCTCTGATGTACCATCTCTTGGGACCAAGAGGTTCTCTATCTTGGAAATGCATCTTTTCCCTATAGAAGTCTTTCGTCCACACCCATTCAAGGCCTAAAAGCAAGCTGCATTCCGTGCGCAGTAAGCCCTCAACCCCATATGTAGAAGCCTGGAGACAAGTTTAAAGCGTAGCGCTGAAAGCCATTTAAAACTAAACGCTGAAAGCCGTTTAAGTCTTGCACGTGGTTTCGTGACCAAAAAGCCGTAGCTTCAATTTCCCGCTGCAAAGATGATCTTGTGATTTGGTCCTTTGGGTGTGCAACCCTGCCGTACCATTGAGTCGATACTGCCGCTCAACATCAGCTTTATACCTGCCTGAAAGTCTGGGGTGAAATCAAAGATGCAAAACCGTAAAACCTAGACAGTAAGTCTAAGCCTGTTGCCAGAGTTCACTTGCAGTGAAGAGTCGGGAAGTCTCAGCTCCTACTCTGAGATTTGGGCCTAGCTAAAACTTAGGGCTAAGGGCCTGGCAATTTAAGATTTACGGGACTGGGAACAGCCGTACCGAGGAGGGTGCCATTCCCCTAGCTCATCCTTACAGGGCATGAGATCCTTCGGAATTTGGTAGCGCCGCCGGCTGCCTCTTACGAAGCAGCTGTATGGATTCCAGTCAGCCCAGTTTCTGGGAAGAACAAGTCGCAGCCACGTCACAGCCAGAGCCCGCCGAGGCTCCGTCACAGGCGCCGTTGACTGCGATCCCCAACTGAAGGAGAGTTGTCTGATCGCCTGCAACTAACTTTTAAACCGAAAAGCTTAGATTCTCGGTTATGGACGGTGAACTTCACCTCGAGGGCCAGTTATCGAGCACATATCTCTTGGCCTTGGTGAGCCGCACGTATGGATTGAAGGTGGGTCGAAGGCGCACGCCGTCAATCATATTTTCACGATATTCCATGCGTGGTGTTCCTGTATGAAGCCACACAAGGACATTCAGGGGAAGTTCAGCACTGACCACAGAGGCAGCGGCAGCAGAAGCGGCGCTGCACCTTTGCACTCCGCCATGTATCGTGGCTCTTTCCTGGCCTGGAGCAGAAGTTCCCGTGGTTCCCATGGAACAGCTCTCGCCTCCCGACCCTGCAAGCAAAAGCCCTAGGCCCCAAGCGCTAAATCCAAAATCCTTCGCTTGCACAGCCCCAACAAGTGCCGGGCAGGGACGACCATGATGATTCAGCTTCTAAGAACCCCTAAGCTGCTGAGCCTTAATCCTAAGCTCAGCAATAATAGCGTGTTAGAAGGCGCGAACAGGACACTGTGGGGTCGGCCTACAATGACACAACTCGAGAAGAAGCGAAAGCCTAACGTCCCCCAGCTCTTCCTACCAACAGCAACGCAAGGGCAACTCATCTGGGGAACCATGGCGCCCTAGTGAACCCTGGATATTTCGAGAGACCCTTAAATATAGAGGCTAGTAATATTCCTTGTTTCCTCTGTCCAGAGACAGAATGGCTCCAGAGCGGTTGGCAGTCCACATATGCTTTGCCATTTCACAAGTTGCCGAACTCATGAGCCCTAATATAAAAGAGTAAACAAAACGCTCTGCCCGTCTTACTTCATTTATCTGCATGGATTACTTACTGCTTCCGGGCTTCCCTTCCTGTGCGAGGGCCTCCCGAGGCCCCCAACAAAGCCCTGTCGAGGCAAAAGGTTTGACTAAACGGGAGGTGTACAGGCATAGTTTCTTTTCTCATAATGTTCAGTATAAGAAAGAGTCTTTTCTTTTAAATGATTTTGAGGCGAGTTTACGAGGTAGCCTGCGAAGCTCCGTCGGTTGCCTGGTCAAATCGCTGTAAAGGAGAACTCTATTTCCCGTTGTGTTTGCAGCTAACTGTGTAGAGTTGCACGTTGTTAACCAAGTTCATGACGAGCACTGCTCTGCTTGGAAGCAGGCTTCCATGTGCCTCTCGTTGTGCCGTGGCCAGTGGTCGCGCTACAATTAGGCAACACTGCACTTGGCCCCAACTGATCCCAGGTCTGGAATACGATACTCAGTGCCGAGCTAGCCCAGGCATCCATAGCAGTGACCCCTTAAGAAGCGTGCAAGGAAGATGCCTTAGAGTTACCCGGTGTTACCAAGGTGCCTGAGAGCCCCGCTGCTTCGGAGGCTTCCTGGCGTGGAAGGCCCGCAGTGGCTCAATCCGCCAAGACCTGACACAGCTGCTCCAGAGCCCCGGTGATCCTGGTCTGCCTATTACCTCCGCTTATTATGTAAGGGAATGAGGAACTGGCGCAGCATGTGGGAGTGTATAAAGGACGGCCAGCGCCAAATGAAGGATGCAGCATGAAAATGCTGAGGCAGTCTATTACGTTGCCGACCTTTTATACGTAGCCAGCACGATAAGCTCGTCTATTCGTAACAGAAGATAACGTGAACACTCCAAATTTTCAAGGCCGTTACAGCGGAAGAGCTGCAAACATGGTCACAAAGTAGTATTGCGGCTGGCAGGCCCTGTTTGCTCTCTTCTACTGCAGTTTGGCCCCTTTTCTGCAAAGGATCCTCTGCACCATCAATTAGAACTAGCGAACAACCCAGAAAACTAGTTCTGAGGCCGTGAGCTGAACCCACGGGACTCAAGCCCAGCGGCTCACGGAATTGCGCTTTCTGTCGACCACAACTGGGCGTGGCTAAAGCATCCCATCCAGTCAGCATACAAATAAAAAAAGCGCTCCCTTCAGAAGTCGTCGCCAGCTTCTGGCAATTTGCAGCAGTAGCTCAAGAAGTCGCTAGCCTCAGGCTTTGAGCACAGCCACAGTGCAGAAAAGACAAAAGAAACGGTACGTCCCTGTGTAGACTGCATCAAAGTAGTTCACGCACCGAAGGACTGTCCCAAGACGTGTTGGCCTGACGGAACAACCTGATGAACTTTCGGGCTCGCGTTGAAGTAAATGCCATGTACCACGCTGATGCTAATCTAGACAAGTGACTGCAGTGTAAGTCTTGATGCGCAGAAAGTGCGTTTTCTAGCCATCGAACCACCACAGAGGCTAAGTTTCGTCTTAACTATAGCAGAAAAGGCACATTTTGGCCTCTACATACTTAAATTACTTGCATTCTCACAAAGATATTAAGAGTTTACCAAGGCATTGAACTGCAGGATACATTCACGTGTCAACCATCGGGGCCTGTCGCTACAGAAGCCGCCTTGCTCCTAGCCCCACTTGCAGCCTTTGCTATTTCGTCAGCGAAGCACCAGGGTGCTTGTGAGAGGAGCTTTCGTTGCTTCATCTCCCTCAGTTGATCATCCCTCGGGGTAAGATCCCCAGGGTTGGCAGTTTCAACGCTGACGGTGTGATGCAGCCTGAGGAGATCCTTCAACACGTTGATCTCATGCAGAACAAAGCGCCATCGTTCTTCCACTTGTCTCCTCTCCTCATCGGTGAGGTGGGCAAAACGAAGGTCTCCTTGCTCCAACAGCTTGCGCCTCCGCCTCTGAAAGTTCTCCCAACAGTGCAGCAGAAGTTCCGCTGCGGTGAAGCCCTTGCGTGTGTGCCGGGTGTAGGTACAGGAGTCGCAATGGGACAGCAGTAAGAGGAGCATTCCCTGGGCCTTTTGCACCCTCCGCATTAGTTCTCCAGGGAAGAGAAAGATGTCGTTACCTTCAAGTGTCGAAGAAGGAATCCGTATATCCACCGGAGCCTCTTCAGGGATCAGGCTCGAGCCACTTAGAGTGTACGTGCCTCTCGCAACGGACTCCAAAGAGAGCCCGTGCAAGGCAATTGCAGCAAGGTCTCCTTCCCAGGCGAGTCCCCTAAATAGAGGCCTTGTCTGCCTGAGCACTCCCGCCGCTATTGCATGCAGTACCGTCATGCCTTCATCCTTCGTTACAATGTTGCAGTTAGCTCCCTTTTCCAAAAGTACAGAGAAAACAGCATCTTGCAGCCAATAGGCAGCAAGTACAAGGGGCGTCTCTCCAGTAAGCGTGGCTGCATTGATGTTTGCTCCGTGCTCTAGCATCACCCTGACGGTCTCAGGATCCCCAGCTACGCAGGCCAGGTGTAGCGCAGTGGCGCTCTCCGCATTCAAGGCTTCTACTGCGCCTCCAGCCACCAGCAGCTGCCGGCAAAGGCGAGCTTTCCCATTGCTGGCAGCAAAGTGAAGTGGGTAGCTTCTCCCTAGAAACCGATGGGATGATGCGGACAATAACCGTTTTCTGCTGAGACCCCATAAGGAAGACAGAGGTGGCGTACGGCTGACGCTGATGTCTTCTTTTCTGGGGCTCCCATTAGCCCCTAATTTACCCTTTGACAAGGTCTTATTTCCAAGACCTCGCAGAGATCCTGTTCCAGTATTGGCTGCGTCCAACGAATCGCAGTGCTGCAGCATCAACCTTAGGATCGCCAGCTGCGCTACGTCTGTGCCCGCTGCTGTCTCTTCTGCGGCTTTGGAGGCAGAGCGATCAGAACTGATCTCCCAATTTTGAAAGGGAAGCCCGCTTTCGCGCGAAGCACACATTGCCAAAAGAGGAGTCATTCCCAAGGGAGATTTGGCAAACAGGTCGTATCCCATTTTCAGCAAACTGCACAGAAGTAGCAAGCAAGAGGAGAGGAACCCACTAGTTGAACATAGCACAACAGAAATCCCAAGAGCTCCATGAGCAGAAACAACAAGTTATTGACTCCCGGAGCCAGCAAAGCACTCAAGCAGCAGTTTGATGACCGGCAGCAGCACCAACAGGAGTTGCAGCAACCGCAGCAGCACAGATACCAAGAACAGTAGCAGCCGAGTAGCTCACTGGCCAACAATCGCATCCTTAGAATATAGACAAGCAAGCCCAAGAAGGCTCAGGCCAGTGGGTAGGTGCTGCGTGCCTTTCATCGCTCTAAACAACTCCAAAGCGAGTGGAAAGTGAAGCCCACGGCGCAGGAGGGCCACAGCCACAGACATCGGGTCGCGGCAGAAGTGCTCCTTGATTTGCTGACAGCCGAAACGAACAACAACGAATAATGCAATCTTCTACACAGCATACTGCATGGAATTTTTGTCAGCAGATCGTCTGCAGCTCTAATTCTACTGCTTGCTTGTCTGCCTAGACAGATGCCAGCGTGCCTAGCGGCTAACGGCTTGGCTCTGTTAAGGGCCCTCACCTCTGAGCTAGCGGCCCTTGAATTGGTTGCAGCCCTGTAGAGGGCAACGAACACATCTTCTGTGCGCACGATGGGAACCTGGAGAAGGGGAGGCGTACACACGCCAAGAAGCGCAGCGAATCGACGGAGTCGAAGACTCATAACCACTGATAGGCTCGCATCGCTGCCCATGCATGCTACACAGTTGGACAAAGCGCAAAATAGAGGCTCCATGATCTTCTCGGAAGGGACGGAAGGTCCACGGCGGCACTGCTTCTCCAGCTGCATCGCCTGCGAGCAGCAGCAGCAGAAATGCCAAACGTAGCATCAAAAGCACTTTTGAGCTTTGTTCTTCCCGAAAAAGCCTCGACACTGCCTGCGTCGGTCCCGACCCGCAGCAGAAGCAGTTGTAGAAGCAACTCCTGCGGCGGAATATTACTCTGTAGCTCAAAAAAGAGCCACACATAATCTGTGTCATTGCTGCTGCCTTTGCCATGGCCATGAGGCGGACCTTGTACGTGAGTTCTGCGAGCTTCAGGTAAAGGTGCGCCTTAGTCATGGATGTGGCGGGTAGGACCGTCTCCGCTGCCATCCCAGCTCTCCTAAGGAGAATGAGAGCCTGCAGGCATCACAAAGCAGAACCAGGGGTCATACCGCCAGCAGCAATGAGGTGTTCATTGCTGCTAGCTGATGTACCGTTACTCCTATGCCTAGCGAAGCATGAGGGGCACTGCAAGCTTTGATACAAAGCTATGGGACCGTTCGCGCTGTTGTAAGCCAATAAACACTCGGCTTTATGTATTCTGGACCCCTATGCACTTCGCAGTGCCACTGCATAGGAAACCCTCACCAATGGCACGTCCTTGCCTCCTTTTGTAGCCAAGAGTCCCGCGAGAATAGTGTTCACATTGAAAAGGACAGCATGCTGAGGATGCAGTTTGCTGCTGTAATGGTCCACGAGGTCACCATAGATTCGAGTTGCAAGCTGCTGAGACCCCTTGATCAAGTGCGTGTCAGCTTCCGATTGTCTCTGCAAGAGGTCCCTCTCGATGCTTGCGCAGGTTAATGAAACCTTGGTGTCCGTTAGCCCGCAGCAGTTACAAAGCCACTGTTCCTCTAAAGACGCTGCAGAAGTTGCCGGAAGCCGCCGTCCCCCCGTGCATTTTGCCTTTGCCTTTCCGAGGAGCCTTTCCCTACTGTCCCCACCGCCCGCTGTTGCAACTTTTTTCTCAGCCTTCACCTTAACCGCACTGACCCTCTCGCCTACGGAAGCTCCAATATCTTCATAAGCTTTGAGACGGGCCAACATATTCCCTCCTTTCGAGGGGCACAGGAATCCCCTGACACACTTGAAGCAGCGTATGCCTCTGAGGAGCCGTCCTCCCTCGTCGTTCTCCTTGCAGCGGATGCAACCACAGCCGAAGACTCTAGGAAATGACTCCACTGCCTTGCGTTCCTTCTGCGACTTGAACAGGTCTGCCTCAGCAGAAACACATATATATCCACCTGCAGGAATAAAAGTTATAGCCCTCACTGCCAACTGGCCGTCCTCTTGCAAACTGACGGTTGCTGTTGGCACGCAGCTGTGGTGAAGCAGTGCTGTTGCTGGGGCAAAGACTCGCCCCAGGGTACACTCTGCGTTCCTGCGCTCTACAGCTGCTGCTGCGGATGTGGCTGAAACAAACGGGGAGTACTGCAGAACAACCAAAGCCACGTGCATGAGTTCTTTCTCAGTGAGATACAGCAACAAGTTGGGGGGCACATTCTGCTGCAAGCGCCGAACGAGCACCTGCAATTTCTTAACTAACTCTGGCTGGCCCTTTCGTACGGCTTCTTCGTGCGAGTTCAGAGCGAACAGCTGAGTTGCCATGTCTGTATCGGCCGCGGCTCCCGCTTCTTTCCCGCTTCGCGCCACTTGTGTCTCCCGCTGCAGGGAAGCCTTGATTAGGATCCTGAAGAGGTGCAGCACGAAAGTGACCATGAAGCCTGACTCCTTTGCCATTGCATACATTAATGGCATGCACGTACACTCTATGGCATGCAACCTCGCATTCCGCATAAGACAGTTCCACGAACAGAACACAAACGGGCAGGTGTGGGGAGAAACGGGGCATGAGTAAGCCTTTCTAGGATCCTCGCGCTCCTGGAGACAGTGAAAACATGTGCTAAAAATCTGGCCTGTCTCAAGCAGCAAAGGAGTACAAACAAATGGCTTCTCCCTAAATATTAGGTCCCCAGGGCTCAGCTGGCGGTTAGCGAAGGCCGTTGTCTGTCCGTTCTGTCGCACAATCATCACGGGGGCCCCCTGAGGATGAAATAGAGGTGATACAGCTTTCCCAGCTGTTCCCTTGTGTGCCAAAGAGCCTGTCATCTCTGGAACTTGCAGGGCCTTGACCTTGAACAGTAGGGGCAGCTCGCATCGCTCCATCAAGAAGTTTTCCTCGTATTGAGCCAGGAGCCGCAGCAGACGTCTATTGCCAGGGCAATTGTGAATGGCTCCCCAGAGAGCAGAAAGGGCTCCCATCTGGTTGCGTTGGTGTCCGTAAGTCTCGGCCAGCAGCACAAAGCCGTCTGCGTTGCGAGGGTTCTTATCCAGGAAGCAGCAGATCGCACCCTCTGCCTCTTTGAATCTTTTCCGCTGAAGCAGCTCAGGAAGCATTCGCTGGAGTTCGAGGATCTCTGACGTTTCTTGTTGCTCTCTCAAGCCTCGCTGCTTCTGTTCTTTGCCCTTCTCCTCTAGTTCTTGTCCCTCATCTTTAACCCCGTGTTGCTCCCGAATTTTCAGTGCCGCCTCGTAAGCAGTCAGACCTTTGTGCACCTCGTTAGAGTCTCGTGTGAACCCTGAGGCCTTCTGCTGAGCGAGGCGCTCCTCGGCCATGTCAGACAGCGTGTATAGCCTGCTAGACAGCCCTGCGCTTTGCTCCCTCCGGAGAGCAGACACCCAGGAAAACATTTTCCACCGTAGGCTCCAGCAGTCATTACCCTAAGCTCTAGTTCAAAAGCACAGGAAAGTGCTCAACGAGAAAGCTCGTGCGGGCCCTCACCGGGGGGACAGGCTAGTTTGAAAAGCTTGAAGGAAGCGATATCCGCCTCTAATGTCGTGGCCTTCAAATACGCCACCGGGATAAATAATGAACGGAATAGCAAAACCATGTGAGGAAGGGGAAATATAATATATGAAATGCAATGAAACGGGTATAAATCCCCAAGGCGAGGCTGTGGGCGGTTTGGTCTGGTGGCTAGGGACCGCAGACCACAGTTATCTAATAGTGGAAGAGGGCTCTTGTCCTAATTCATTTAGTTACGATCTTTTGAAGTAGATATCCCCGTTGCCATTAAAATAAACACAGGCTGTGGGCGGTTTGGTCTGGTGGCTAGGGACCGCAGACCACAGTTATCTAATAGTGGAAGAGGGCTCTTGTCCTAATTCATTTAGTTACGATCTTTTGAAGTAGATATCCCCGTTGCCATTAAAATAAACAATAGGGGGGTATGAAGAATGGGTAATCTCCGGGTACAGAAAGTTGTTCTGTCATGTCTGCCACAAGACAAAGTTGGACCCGGCAGGGCTGAGCGACGCTGTAACATCGCGAGCCCCAGCACTACTCATCTCTGTAGCAAATAGTCACTTCAATGAATTAGGACACTGTTAGTTATGCAAAATTTACCGGCATCTTAGGCGTCCCTGTGGTTTTTGAACAGTCCCTGCCCACTAGCAGCCATGCAAGAGGGAAACAGTGAAACCGATCAGGGCAGCATTCTGCGCAGAGGCACGGCACCGTATCAGAGTAAACTGGGCTGTGAAGTATACATTTTGAGATTCTTGCTCGAATTACCACACATTTTTACATATGTGCTGAAGGTGTGATGCGGCGTGGCAATAGCCGCTAACGTACTGCTGCAATTGTCTCGGAGTAGCAGGGAAGTTCGTTACCGATAAGAAGCCCCGTTTGCCTGATTCTAGTAGCTATAGGTCCCGGGTTAAGGCTGCAAGCAGCGAAATAACTTAGAGGCTGTCTTGCCGCCATCTGGAGAGAAGCGCAGCCCAATGGGTTCGGAAGAAATCTCCGTTGTCAATGAGTTGACTGATACCAGTAAGCTTGTTCTGCTAATTCCTCAGGAAACTTTCCATCGTCTCATCACGCTCTAGCCCACCAAGCCAAGCATATTCATGCACAAAAAGGCTCCCTAAGATTCTTTGAAGTCTGAACCACGAAGAAAAACGCAACGATTCGTAAGTTTGGGGTATATCTCTTTCCTCGAATTTCCCTGAAAAGTTATGCAGAGGGCATCTAAAGCCCTCTCCAAACTTACATTTTTCTGTCCTAGGATGTAGACTCAGTTTAGGCTCAGGCCAGTTGCAGCCCCATAGTGAGAAGGTAGTTTTCTCTATGGTTCTTTCTGCGGAAATGAACTGTATATATTTCATGTCCGCTTTTGGTGATTCCTAAAAGGCATGTCCAACTGGTGGTGGGTCAAATGATCCATAATTATTTCTTAGCTTTGCTTTGCCTGAACTGGCACTAGAACGTTTGCTGGGAGCCAGACTCCAGGTGCGGAGTGGCTTGGCAGTCTTTTTCTGGCTAGATGCTGACGAGAGGGAGCGAACGACAGCATTTTACTGGTGTCAGCTGGAATGTCCGCCAAGAAGGCGAAAGTAGCTGCGGCAACTGCTCATCAAAGCCAAAGTATAAGCCTGCCGTTTACCGAACCAATTGCCCTTATGCTTAGTTTCATCGGCAACAGCCATAGCCCTTAATGGCAAAAAGAAACCCAGTACAGCTGGCTACGTGAATCACCTCTGCAGTGCTATGTAGTGCATTCCCCTTCCCGCATTGTGGAGACCTGCTGAATGACTTACACTGCTACAGGCTCTTTGATATGATTTGCTTCGTGCTTCTTGTCTTTTCAATATTTAGTCTTGCGCTCCTACTTGCACACCCTACTCGAGGTAGCTCTGCGCCCCGCGCTGTGAAATTATCAGGAATTGTAATTTCACCCGAAAAAATTTGTTCTTCATTCGGGGCATATACTACGACGTCACCTTTTCCAGCGCGCAGAGGTGTACATCTGAATTTGTATATCTGAATTAGCTGCGGGCTACATCCAGTCAAGCAAATGAACATATTTCTGTGGACCGCACCAGTTTGCCGCTGTCAAAACAGTCGAATGATTTGGTCATTTCCCTCAGTGAGTAACTGTAACTGCAACTGGGCATCTTCGTTCCACTGCTGTTGTCAGGCGTGGGTTTGATGTATTCAAGTGTCGATAGGCACAAGACAGCTTCCTGGGAATATTGCACGTCTCCACTGCACTGCATATTATACAACTCCATGACAACTCACTGTTTATAACATCTGCGTCGTATTTCCGCTGTGTTCTCGCCTTAGATTGACCAATGCTGCCAGCCACAGTATTAGCGCTGTTGTTTGTGGAGCAATAACAGAGCACTCGTGCTGAAAAGGGACCGTAACAAGTGGCCCTGCTGTGCTTATCCTCATATACTGCAGAAAACAGGCCCAAACAGATTGTCGCTTCGAATCTGCATGAAGATGTTGCGATTACCGTTCACCACCGTGCCTGCCCGGTGGTTGTTGACTCCCTGAAAATTACTGTAAATGCTTTTTATTGAAGTACGCAAGGGCACCACTGCAACCTGCATCATCGCTGCAACAATACAGAAAGGCCCAAAAAGCCCCTGTCCATGATGCTATAGGAGGTTCGCTTCACGTTGTTGGGGCTGTTGTGATATGCTTCTCACATTGTCTATCCGTACCTGCTGCATGGTGTGCCAATCGAAGTTGTGTAAATACCTGTATGTATCTATATCTGTTTTATACTTTGCTTGCGCAGGGGCTGAGCTGCTGTTCGGTATGCTAGCACGTAGCGCAGAGGCCGGTAGTGAGGCAGGGCCACTGTGGTCGTGCATGCAGCAACCTGCACTGTGTGATTCGGCAACACTCTTCATACCGTCCGTTTCCCACGTATAACTCTTATTTTACCTTCTCCGCGCAGACACCTAGTGCTCCTCTGGTTGTTGCCGCAGCCTATCATGACCGCTTTGCAGTGTGGAAGCGCTCAACACTAGCACCATCTGCTGTTGCAGTATGTGGCTGACGACTGAGGAGAAATGAGGGAGACGATGCTCCAGCAACTGCTGCCGCTGTCCGCAACGTTTGCAGTCTGAGCTGCTGACGCCGCTGCTGCTACTGTTCCCGCCACTCTGACGCAGAGGGGCCGCTGCCGTTGTTCGGGCTAAAATTGGGCCGATGCGACAACGAGCGGGAAGACCGAGGAAGGTAACGCAAGGTTGCTACATTACAAGCGGTTACGTGGTGCTGTACCGCTGCAGAGCCGTAGAGGGACAGCATGGAGTCCGCGGGCAGGATGGACTTGCCAACGCATATTCCGTACTCTCCCCAGCCTTTGGGTTGGTCGTTTCAGACATATAACCTACTGACGCTGGTGCTGAGTTCTATTTTCATTGTTTGTTTGTTTATAATGTACTCAATCTCGCGCACTGTTTCAATCCTACCCCATGCGTACCGCATGGTGACGTTGGAAAGACGGCGGATGCACTGTTTTGATGTTGACATCACCTCGGGGCGCCAGGCCCACAAGGTCCGCATGCTGTACATCTGGATGTTGCGGGCAGCCATACTGGTTATGTTTTGCTTTGTATGGCAGTACTGCATTCTCACTTACAAAGCTATTGACTTCTCCCACCGCAAGGGGCCCCTCCAGCTTTACCTACATTGCGTGTTGCGGGAGAGTGACTGTTTCGGGCTACGAAACCACCACCACTTCTTTGACTTTTATTCTAACCCCACCAATGTTTGCCTTGACTACAAGGAAATAGCCGAAAACAGAATGGAGGAGGTGATGGAGGAGATTCTCGAGAAGCACCGCTACCTGCTGTGTATTCATTTTGTTTCCCCCGATGCTATGGTGTATACTGCTGGGGTAGCCATCGCTTTTTCACTGGGGTATCTTATTTTGACCGGCTTCGAGGTGCTGGTGTGGCTACTGTACAGATCAACCGAACGTTGGCTGCCTATCCTCATTTCCTCCATAGGTATTGCCTTCTTTGTCTTGTGGATTGGTAGCCTTTTTATTCCGCAGCTCTTCACGTTTTTCGGCTGTTGGATCAGTTTTGTGATGGTGCTCACTGTTCCGTGGATACTGTGGCTAGCGCTAGCTGCAGCTTACAATCTCAGGAAACTCCAGCACCAAAAATGGGCGCTGTGGCAGGAGCAAGCAAACCGGTGAGAGTAGTAGCGCACCAAGAGGTTTTACCGCTATTTTAATACTCCAAGAATAAGGAAAAGTACTGCTGCTATGCCCGAGCAAAGTACAGTGGCATGCATGCCGTCGCACAGAGATTGTGGATAGCCATTTCTGTCACGCTTATGCTTACACCTATATCAGCATCACCCTCAAGCACACAAACACCTGCAGTGTTCAGGAGACTCCAGTGTGCGTTAGTTGCCTCTGCTCACTTTGAGCGTATAACGAAGCACTCTATTGCTGCTCGTACTGCTGATACAGCGGCGTTTCACAAATTCCAGTCGCCATTGGCGTACAACCAGCAGACTGCTACTAAGGTTGCTGCTGCTGCGGAGGCTACAAATCTCATGAAGTATTGTCTTGTGTTCGCTGAGATGCGTGGGTAGTTGAGACTTAGTCGGAGCTATGATCCTATTGTTTCTGACCGCTCTGTGCCGATGTAAGTGGTCTTTGCAACTCCGAAAACGCACAAGCCCGCAAGGTGTATGGTGTAGGTTCTTAATCCATAGACTGCAGGGCTTCTGATCAGCGAACATTGCGCAGGGGGAGCCTGCTGTGAGCGTTTGTGATGCAGACCGTTGGCTCAGCTTGTAGACCGAGGAAGGCGCGGTAGCGACCCGTTGTTAGAGAAGAGAGGCCTCGGTTTGAGGGTAAGGGTAAACGTTTGCCTTCGTTTGCCCTGTTTTTCTGTATATGTCGTTGTATACTTGTTTGTTAGTTACACGAGGTTGGAGTAGGGCAAGAGTTAGCTTAGCAGCAGACAACATACGTAGCGACGCTTGCGTGGATTGTTGATGTACGTGTGTGCCTTATATATTGATACATTCGTATATAGACCTGTGCGTACCCAAATAGATGGATTTATGCGTGCGTGTGATCGTGGCTGTTCATTGCACGTATCGTGGACATGTGAAGGTGGGACTGCTTGTAGGCACATGTTCATGTGTGATGTACGATCCGTAGATGCCCTTTACATTAGTGCCATTCTGCTGTTTGTTCTCATTGTGCACGTTTGCATAGCGATTCGTAGCTCGTTTGTGTCGTCCGATTCATCCGAATTTGTCATGTGATGCTGATTGCTGCTGAGTGCTTCGCGAGGCTTGACTGTGTGACGCTTTCTTTTTCGCGCCGCAAAAAGGGGTTTGAGTCAAATAATGAGGGTTTCTAGCCGCTTCAATTTTCTAATGCAGGGTGGCCAGTGCTCCCGAGATGGTTCGGGAATGTTGGACTTGGATGTGGATATGGACGACGTCGCAGCGCTTAAGGCCTCTGAAATACGCGACGATGACTCTGAGACGAAAAACAAAAAAAAGAATGAGGGCCATTTTGAGATTCCAAACATTAGGGAAACGTTGCAGGGCACACTCGGCCTCCGCCAGAAAAAAGACAATAGCCATCAGCAGTTAGGAGGAGGTCGCCCCCAGATGCAAGCGCAGACGCAGCAGGAGCCGCACGCGAATCGCCGTATGACTTTGGAGGGAGCGACTGAGACGGACGAGAAAGCTGGCAACAAACCACAAGCGCAGGTCGACGCTGTGAAGACTGACTAGCCTCAGTTCACTGTATTCATCTCGATTTCGCATGTTATATTATCTGTCAGTATTTAACGAACATGCGCGATGCTCTTTTTCCGCTTTTCGTTTTGCAGAGTGCTTCAGACCCTTGCGCGAGTGTGGAGTGCAAACCGACACAGCAGGCCTCGTGCAGACTGAATCTCCTGTATAGGCCTTTTCGCACATGCGTATGGAGATGCGTATGCGTTTGCGATGTGCGACGAAACGCGTAGAGGTAGTAGAGTGGAGTTAAAAGTGGCAGCGAGAAGCAGTAGAACAAGTACAGGCGCAATCTGGTGTGCGGCTCTCAACTCTAGACACTTCTTAGACTTGCATAAATCGGCGCTAGCACTACCAGAATTGTAACCGCAGTACAATGTGTAAATACGCATGTATGTTATTGCATAGTTTCGTCCGTGCCTTGCTGACAGCTGCATGCATGGGTAAATATATTTATATGCACATCGTATATTCCTTCTTATGCATCTCTGGATGCGCTACAGTGCGCTGATCAGAGTAGAAGCTCGGCAGCTCGACTCAGCTATTAGAATAGTCACAGTCGTAATGGGTGCTCCTGCAGCTCTGCGAACGACCCAATCGTTTTTTCAGCTGCGGCGTCTGCATCAGCTGCACTGAGGCAGTCTCACGTCTCTCAGTGCATACTAAACTATGCGATTCCCCCACGAGCTTTGCAGTTGGTGGCATTTTCGTCGAGTAAGCAAGCTACGCTGCTGTTCAGTGTAGAGCGCGCCGTCACTGCAAAGATGTGGCAGCACCGCCGATCAGGCTAGCGCTCGCGCGCTGGATCAGGAAACAGGACCTTCTATAATCGTCCTCCGCATTGTACTGACAATCTTGAAGTATGCCAGTGGAGGTAGAACCACTCCCACTGCGCGCTGTGCGCCGAAAAAACTCGATGGACTACAATATGGGCTATTTTGTGAGGGAAGGCACTGCAGCGAGCGGCAAAAGCCGCCCGTTGTGGTCGGGTAGGCTTCGGTATCAGTTGCTTTACTATGATGGAAGTACCAGGGAATCTATACTGAGCGCACGTGGTGATTTTGCGTATGCACGGATGCGCTTTCTCGTTTACCTTCACCGGTAGACCAGAGCTCAGCAGTTCGCTATGGTGCAGATAAAGGCCTACAGCAGTGTCAAGCCTTGTCCTCCTTATCCTGCCACGGAGTATGGGGCTTCTTGTCTCCAAGCAAAAGATGTGCACTACGAACAAAAAGAGTGGCACGAACGACGAGAGATAATGATCTCGCTGAATGTAACGCTGAATGTAGTAGAGCTGGAGTACGATGGGTATTCTGCCCCGTGGAGTCTCATGGAAAGAGATCGCTGAAGCTGACGGCACTGTTGTCCCCGGCTCAGGCCGCAGAAGTGTTGGGACTGGATGAAACAGTAAAGTCGTTGTAACATTCCTCTGTGGTCTTTTACAACTCTCGATTTTGCGGCGCAGTTCAGTGCGTCACAAGCACCTCTTATATTTGGCTCCTGCCTCACTAGTAATGCTTCATCTGAGCGCAGCTGACAACTGGGCATAATTTTAATCTTCTATTGATCATCTTCGCGTTCCTTACATTACGCTGGAGACGAAGCCATATAGTGCGTTCAATGTGCTGGGGTGCTGCAGGGAAGCACATGCAGGCATTCGCCGCAATAAGCGTCTGCAGTGCGTCACAAGCACCTCTTATATTTGGCTCCTGCCTCACTAGTAATGCTTCATCTGAGCGCAGCTGACAACTGGGCATAATTTTAATCTTCTATTGATCATCTTCGCGTTCCTTACATTACGCTGGAGACGAAGCCATATAGTGCGTTCAATGTGCTGGGGTGCTGCAGGGAAGCACATGCAGGCATTCGCCGCAATAAGCGTCTGCGAGTCTGTAGGAGAGCGATAAGCGTCTGCGAGTCTAGGAGAGCCGCTCTAACTCGTCAGTGCGGAGCACAGAGCTTTTAGTGAGAACCAATGTGAAGCTAGAAAGGTTGACGGGATTCATCAATGGTGTGAATGCTCCTTCGTTTGGGGCCGTAGCCCAGAAGAAACTGAATTAATTGCCAGCGAGGTTTTAGCACTGTCTAGGAGATGTCTGTATCTGTGTATATTCTTGTGTGCATATACGCACATGCGTAGTTTATATTATAAACACACGTATTGAACACTGGGGGAGACTTGACAGCGGCGATTTGCACGATTTTTGATAATAGAAAGTTTGAACTTCAGAAATCGTATGAACAGATACTAAATGCAATTTTAAGCTTCTACATGTTCTCTGCATGAGTGCAATGCCTAGAATCATACCTTTTCTGTTGAGTCTGGTGCTGCGAAGCAAGAATCCCCATCAGGTGAGCAGATTATGCGTCGGACAGACATGACAAATCAAATTCAAGTTATGGAACGTCCTACATTGGTCAAAATGTGTCACACACACGCAAAGCACTAGTTGGGAAGTAAAGGATCATGAGGCTGTCCTGGCTCATACAGAGAAGTCGTAATTCGGTAGTGGGGGATGAAGGATGAAATTTGGAACGCGACAGTTTCGTGGTGTTCAACTTAACGCCTGAGTAATGATCCAATAGCTTTCCTTGCAAGAAAGGGCGTTAGAAGAGGGGAAGTTCCAAAACCCCGGCCTAAGAGCGCGAGACTTCGTAAGACCCAAAGCACCCTGAGCGTCCAAAACAGGTTCTCTAACTAATAGCAGCCACAGTTAGGTAAGGTCATGTCACCCATGGAACACGTACATGCCGTGCCGAAGAGCTCATGGGAATATCACGGCAAGTGCTAGAGCAAGCTAGTCAAGAGGAAAGCGTTAGCGGCAACAGGGAGCCAACTTTCACGGGCAGTGCTATAGATTTGGGCACGAAACACACACGGGAGGACGCTGAATCGTAAGGCGATTCCTGATGACCCAAAGAAATCCGTGCGCGAAGAATTGGCAGGATGTTCAACACCGGGAGCAGCGTTCCCCCGTGTGGCAATTTCTGTGCACTCTAGTTGTGCCATGGTCGGTCAGTATAGAGGCGGCAGGCTCATAGCGAGCTCTCTGTGCCTTAATAGCTTAGCAGTGCCCCCTACGAATGGCGCTCTAGGGAGCAACGGAACCCTCGAGCCCTCGAGTGGTGCGACCCTTCTTTGAGGCTTTCTCCCCTCGATATCAGTCGCCCGCAGGGGATGCGTAGAGCGCTTAGAGTTTGCAAAACTCGCCTCTACTCCTACCACGTTGTGTGAATCTTCCTAATTCTCGCAGATTGCTGCTTGCGGTTGACGCTTATTCCATTTCCAATTGTTTTCCACACTGGCACCACCACCACAATTTGCCCTGATTCCCTTCATCACAGTATTTCCAAATTGCCGATGCCCCATTGAGCTCAGGCTTTTCGGGCCCTTGCATGCCTAGGAACGTTAACTGCATCCCCTACGTTACTGAGCCGACGAATATATGAAACAATTCCTCAGTATATCCTACAATATGAAGAGTAGCCGTAGTTAATTGTAAGATCCTTGCATGCTGCACGGGTGCACGGATGCCAACGTAGCCTTATACTCACAGGAGATGGTGAAGAGTGCCGGTCACACCAAGTGCACGGCGACCCAACCCAACAGCAAAGGGAACCCACCATCAAGCTGACCTCACCACACCCTTTAAAGTTTTTGGCAATACTGCAGCTCGTAGAATTGTTATATACGCGTTATCTGCGGATTTGGAAACAGGTAGCTCGGGAAATTGGTTGGAACTTCACTTCAACGTATATGCTGGGAAAAGAGGGTTGCATTGCGACGACGAAGGAGTAGCAAATGGAAGACACAGAGCTTTGTTGTTTTTGATCAAAAGGCTGCAATTCAATCAATGCAAAGAATTAATGTAGGTGGAGCACCAACCGCTAAACAGTGCAGCGCAGACGACAGATCCTCGCTTAAGAAGTGCCGACCGACTGTGGTGGCTGCCCTGTCCGCTACCAATGTTACCCATAGTTGCTGTTGCTCTTCCTGCTGCTACTCTGTTGCCTTTGAGTATTATATTGGTGCTCTCTTTTGGGGACGCAAAGCCCGTAGGCTGCTTTTCCCAGGCAATCTCCGTCGTCCCGTCTGTGTAGCGGTGGCTGCCTCTGCATGCACAACACGCTCGGCCCTGAAGTCGCTTCACCTCTTCATTGCTTACCCTAAACTGAAGCCGGAGAATAACTTCACCGGGAGCATTCTTGGTAGACTGTTTAGAGGCCATAGTAAAGCCTTCACCCCGCCAGACGCTGCGCATTCGTCTTTTTGTCTCTTTCCCTTCTCCACGCCACCTTTGGAAAAGTACAGAAATAGGCGTAAACAAGCACAGAGCCTAGCGCAGCTTCCCTCTGCTTCATCCGCGGTACTAAGTCAGGCACTGGAGATCAAATCCACGCTGCGCTGCTGCTCCTGCTGCAGTGGGGGTGTGAACCTAGGGGCCCCAGCCCTATCGCTTTTGCTTCAGCCCGCCATTTACAGAAATGGATTCTGCAGAGGTTTGGGGAGAGGAGGACGGGGTGACCGCCGAGGTCTCTAACTTCAGCGCTGGGGAGCTCCGCATGAGAACCTCTTTGGTTGACTCAGAGCTCAAATACTTCAAAAGTGAAGCCAACAAGCTCAAGTTCGAGCTCAACAATATGCAGGTGAGTGAAATTCTCATTTTTATAGTTATAACAGTATAACGCTTGTTCATGCACAGCGATAACAGTAATGGAGGGCCCAAGAACTCGAGCTCGAACCCTGAGGCGTGCATGTGTTTGCAAATATTATGAGCTAACACAGCAATGTAAAGTCAACTCCAATGCATATTCCTCCTAACTGCTGTAGTATTGATTGCAGCACTTTTAATTAGGGTCGCGAATGCGCGCCCTCAAAGGGCGCGAATGCGCGCCGTGGCTGCGCAGCTGGATGAGCAGCGGTCCACTCTGACTCATCCTGCAAGGACAGTACATCGTGCACTTTGCTCCATGCAGCTGCGACTGAATGCTCATAAGTACGTTTCTGGTGAGAAGCCATGAGGTATGAGTGGTGCTTACTCATGCTGCTTACACATGTGGTTCCACTGTTCCACGGGCATCGGTGGGATTCAGGAGAGAATAAAAGACGCCATCGAGAAGATTCGACTGAACAAACAGCTACCTTATCTGGTTGGCAGCGTTGTTGAGGTAAGGCTTGCCATAAGCGGCAGAAACCTACTCTCGTAGTAAATGTGTTTTGCTCTTATGAGACAAAACGGTCCCACGCGCATGTTCGTGTTCGGTGTTGTACATGCGTACGCTGGACACAGTAGTGAGGATTCAGATCCGCTGTTGCACGTAAACTCGGTAAAGAAGAAGGGGGACAAGGAAACAACAGACACAACACATACAAGTAATGGGACGGAGGCACCTCTGCCTCGTGGCGGTAGATGCCGATGACTTAAGTTTTTCTCCTGGCTGTTTCATGCTATTCATCCAACTTAATTTCTTTAATGGAGGCTTGCTGGTTCATTTGTATGACTTGACAAAATATCTTCACAGCAAGAGAAGGCACATTCGAGTACTTTAAGGCGTAAAGTTTAAGTATTACGGTCTCACGTAGTATCATCACTGTCGCAGTATTCATTATCGCCAAACTTGCCTGCGCTCAAGCCGTAGATGCTTATTTGTTCTTGGTTTTCCCAGCTGTTTGATAATGAAGAAGAGGGAGAGGATGATGGGGCTGCAACAGACATCGACTTGCAACGAAAGGGAAAGTGCATAGTTATCAAGACCTCGACCAGACAGGCATGGAACTCAGCGCCAAGTCCTGTGTCATACTTTTGCTTGATGTATAGAGTTCTGTCCAGGGTTGAAGATCGGAGATTCAGCATCGTCACATATATATGCACATTGGCAATTTATTGTTTCAATGTTTTGCTTGTTTGTGGGCTCCCATCAGGTGGTGCCTGTCCTTGTAATAGCTATGACATTCAGGGTTTAGGGCTGTTGTTTGCCAGCTTGCTCTGTGAGTGTTCTTCAGACTGTCTTTCTGCCTGTTATTGGCCTTGTGGAGGCCGACCAGCTGAAGCCAGGAGACCTGGTGGGCCAGCTGCCCTCCACGCATTCGTTACTGCAAGGGCACTTGCTACATCTGCAGCAACTTGCAGCAGCGGTTGCATTTTTTAGGATTTGCACGAGCCTTTGCTTGTTCGCATGATGAGTTATGTGTCTGCTAATCAATTTTACGTGTTTGGCATTGGCTTATCCTATTTGCCTCGTGCTGCAGGTTGGTGTCAACAAGGACTCTTACCTAGTGCTGGATAAGCTACCTGCTGAATATGACGCGAGGGTGAAGGCAATGGAGGTTGATGAACGGCCCACAGAAGAATATAGTGATGTTGGGGGCCTCGACAAACAAATTCAAGAGCTCATTGAAGCCATTGGTGCGCTCGAAAGTAGCCAAGGCGCAGAAGAAAGCACACTGAGCGGGAATCAGAGTCTGTTGTGACCGCGAAAAGGGCAACGTCCTAGAGACTGAATTGGTTCGACACAGCCAGACACTGATTTTAAAATGCATTCTGTACAGGCACTCACGACGTATGAATTCATGCATAGATACCGACATCCACGTGCAGACACAAGCATCTGCGCACTTCTTTTTGCGTTATTCTGCTCTCACAGTTCTCCCCATGACTCACAAGGAGCGCTTTGATAAAATCGGCATTCGGCCGCCCAAAGGTAACTATGGTCCCCCTTGGCGGCATTGAGAGCATTGTGCTAGTGCGCAACTTCTGTTTATGTGTAGCGCCTGCTCTTCAAGGATGTGGGCGGCTGGAATTTTGATTTGCACTTCAGCTACAGCTTGTCCCCCGCATGTATGGCTCTTATTGGATGCACAAGTTGCCGTGATTATAAATATTGTCTCCTTGTACTCCTTTCGAGCCGGCATGCATACCGTTACTGCATTACTTTCACTATTGCGGTCCTTTGAGAAGATTGTGGCTCTTCCTGCAACGTATGTAGCAAGCTTGTTCGGGGAGCTCTGTTTTTGGCCCAGGAGTTCTGATGTACGGCCCTCCGGGGAGCGGGAAAACGCTACTTGCTAGAGCATGCGCTGCCCAGGTACTGCCGTTCTTGTAGCTAGATGATTGCTTGATTGCAATCCAAGAGTTACGAATAAATAATTTCTTCTGCATCTTATTACTGGAAGCGATGGCATGTTGGCGCTGTCTGGCAAGAGCTCAGTAGTTGGGAATTGTGGGGGCAAGCTTCGGGTCTTTCTACGTACACTCTCACGGCTATCTGTGCCTAACTGAATGTTTCTGCCATCTCAGACTGTTTATTTGTCTGGTATTCGACAGTAATTATGGGCGACATTGTGGCAGCACGAATGATAATATTTATGGCGTGAATACAAGAATTGTGCCTCTTGGAAGTCCCGGGTGGTGTATGTAACTTTGGGCATGCATGATTTGACCTTGGTGTGCATGTACACCTTTTTCCTTCTATCATACCTGCATGCCTACAGAACTACCACTGGACTCTGTCTGTGAGCTTACAATGAATGGAGTTGAGGGCTAAAAGAAAACCAGAATCTGAGATTGGTTGCACATGTGCATATTCTTGAAATGGCAGACCAAGGCGACCTTCCTAAAACTGGCAGGACCGCAGCTCGTTCAGATGTTCATAGGCGACGGTGCAAAGATGGTTCGAGATGCCTTCGAACTGGCAAAGGAGAAAGCTCCGGCAATCATATTTATTGGTACGCTAGCTCCTTATTGATTGTGTTTGAACTGTACAAGTCCACGAGCGTCCCTTATCACTTGGGACAGGACACTAGACGCTGCGTGTGGTCGTTATTTTACGGTGGTGGAGTGCAGATGAGCTAGATGCTATCGGTACCAAGCGTTTCGACAGCGAGTTGTCTGGTGATCGCGAAGTGCAACGAACAATGTTGGAGCTGCTCAATCAGCTTGACGGATTCAGCAGCGACGACCGCATCAAAGTAATGTACTGACCATAAGTCGATGTGTTAGTGTGGGCTGGAAATGCAATGAATTTGCCAGGAGTTTAGTCCCCACTGGTCACTTGAAGTTTTTCCGTGGAGTTGCGGGCCTTTGGAGCATTGAGGCACAATACAGCATCGACTCTCGTTCTTTACTTGGGTTGGTGCGGTGTGGCGGCGGCAGGTTATTGCAGCGACAAATAGACCGGACGTTTTGGACCCTGCACTGCTTCGCTCGGGCCGACTTGACAGAAAGATCGAGCTGCCACATCCCAACGAAGATGCGAGGGAGCGCATTTTGCAGATTCATGCAAGAAAGATGACCGTCAACAAGGCTGGTGAGTTGAGTAAATATATTTGGACCTCTAAGGTAATTTCAACAGATGCATTGACCAATCAACAACTGCAAAGTTGCACCCTTCGTGGTACTCATATAACTTTGACCCGATATTCACTGCATATATGTGTGCATGTTTTTACCGAGGGAGCGCGTTTGATGAGTTTGGCGTGCCTGTATTGTTCTCCGTGATGTATATCGAAGAGCTCCCCACTTTATCTACCCATCGTGGCCGTCAAAGCTGTTCAAAATAGCTGGCAGTAGCTGACTTCGGATGTGAATCTGGAGCATTGTAAGCATAATACGGTCCAGTGAATCCTGCTTTTGCAGATGTGAACTTCCGGGAGCTCGCTAGAAGTACGGACGACTTTAACGGCGCGCAGCTTAAAGCTGTTTGCGTTGAAGCTGGCATGATTGCCCTCCGCCGGAACGCGTCCGAGCTACAGCACGAGGACTTTGTGCAGGGAATCGCTGCCGTACAAGCTAAAAAGAAGTCGAGCCTAAACTACTTCACCTGATCCTTCGAAAACTAGACATCTAGCCGAGCTTTCCACACCAAAAAATTTTAAGTGTAGACAGTTCCTGGGAACACGCTCGCGGCAACAGCTGTTTGTGAGCTCAAACAGCCAACGAAGTGGATGCGGTGAAAGGCTACTGATTTGCTCAGCACCCTGCGCTGCCCAAGGGGAACATGAAGCTGGGCTTCGTGTCATTGAGAACCTGGTGTAGTGACCCCACTGGTAGCGGTCATAATTACCCTTTCCTTGCGAACGCCATTTACAAGGGCTTCAAGAGCCCGACTTGAATCTAATGCTCCGCTTGTTCAATCGACCAGAAACCAACGACTGCTGAAGACGCCGAGGATGTTAAATCGAACTCGCAAGCAACTCCAGACGCTGTAAACTTCCATGAGATGAATGCCGCCAGCAGCATCCCTGAAGCGTGTGCCAATCCCGCACCAAAGTAACCCTTACAGATTGCTTCTGTTGCCCACAAACAAGGATTTCCAATGTAACCAATGTAGCTCGGTTACTTGGGGACTGCGGTATAATTGATGATATTTGTGACGCGTGTCGCTACAGTTTTCTCCTAGCTCCATTTCTGATTGCCTCAACTCTTGCGCGGTCTTGTCGCAAAAGTTCATCCAGCCTCCACAAATTTCTCTCCTTATGGCTCCTCCACCTGCGCTTGATACCCAAGTAGAGCAGCGCTAGTCCACCTAACAGGGAGAACAGTGCAAGATTCGCTGTGTCGAATCGGGCTTTGCCAAGTAGGAGAGATATAGCAGGCCGCGGCACTGCGCGGGTGTCGTAGTCCTTTACTGCATGAAGACCAGCGTGGCCCAGTAACGACAGGCTAGTTAACAGTGCAGGGAAGCCCCTAGGCCGGGGGATGGGCTTAGGGGACTCCGAAGCCCACAGCCTTCGCAGCTCTATCGAATGTCCCGAAGTTGTGGCTGCCTCCTCGTTTCTCATCGTCATGTCGTGATAAGCAGTGGGTAATGCTTCAGCGGCGGCATCTGGAAGCTGGGTGGCTTCTGTTGGTCCCGGCGAAGTGCTCGCATCCAATGACGAAGCCACCGCGAAGCCCATTACAGCGAAAATGGTAGTTGTTATGCCCCTCATTTCTATGCGCCTGAGAAGAGGAGCGGCGGAAGCACAGCAGGCACAAGTAGACGCCAGCGGCAGCACAGAATGGAGACTGCGGCAAGACTCAGCCGTATGAAGCGGATGAAGCTTAAGGTGTTAAACTAGTGGAACAGGTCAGCAGGGAGCTTGGGCCAGGTGCGGGCAAATAGGCATTAGGGGAGAAGAGAGACCAGCCACGAAGAGCAGTGTACTCAACGTAACCACGGGTGCCTCAGGAATTCATTCAGTATTATTTTGTCGGCGCTTTTTACCAATGCTAATTAAGCAGTGATTATGTTGTCCTAGAGGCTCCTTTTACGCCTCAGTTGTAGGTCTGCTCGATGACACTGTCGATCTCCGGATAAGCAACTGTTCCACATGAGGCAATTAAATGCTGAAGCTAGTGTGCTCTGCTCCAGACTTTTGAAAAGAAATGCTTTTCATCACAAATTTATACTAATGTACGGATATCCAGGATCGAAGGGAACTGAAAGCTACACAATTGGTAAGTACACAGGCCTCAACGCCATGCGCTATGCAATGCTCAGCAAATATGCTTCCCGTACGACGTGAGCTAATTAATGCTACTAAAGCAAACGGAATAAACGATTTTTTCTATTTTTGTGTGTCAATTTTTGATTTAACTTTTGGGGTATGCACACTGATATGCATCTGTGTGTGATATTGTATGGCCTTTCAATGCCACTCAACTGTTCTGTTGTACGGTAATCGTGATCAGTAAGTGGAATTGCGCCATAACAGCTCTGGCACTATAAACTAAGTAGTGCCTCTTCACTGTTAACGTTTCAATTGGTTCATGATAGTTTCCGCCACAGGAATAGGTCCTTAAATGGAAGTGCACGCCAGGCGGATCCCCATGCTCATGTCAGGCGTTATGGACACAAGGAAGCCTATTGTGCCTTGGTCACCTTGTTATTGCAACAAATCATGCGCTGACTGTGTTGACAAAGATATCAAGCCACGGCTCGCAATGGATGGGGTGGAGCGGGCTCCACCTTGTCAGACTCAACGGTACGCCGCTTTAATAAACCACCAAAAGCAGGCCGTCAATTCAAAATTAACACTACTCCGGTATTCCACTTAAATTCGAATTTCTGTCACACAGCTATCAATAGGCCTAACTGATGTCTTCCACAGGTTTTTATTGTCTTGCCAAGGAGTGTGAACGTAAGACTGCGAAGCAGTCATTCCGCAGCGGTGGCTAAACTCGTTATGCCGCCACAGAAATGTACAGTACACCCACAAGATGCACCGTAGCCCATAAGTCTTTTCTGGTGGTCAGAATCTGCCCAAGCCATACGTGGGTTGCTGGCGCAGACAGGGGCGCTGACAGGGTCGAAATGTGTCTCGATAACACAACCGATTGAGATACAGCTTAACTCTTTGTATTGCTACTCGTGTGCGCATTTTGCCGCGCTCCAGGGTGAATCTGATCGGATGTTTCAATAGTTCCAGAATTCCGCTGTAAGACGGAAAGAAACACTAAATTTTCGGAAAACAAGGGAGCCTTTAGAATAAAGCTCGAGGGCATTAGCTTATTGGATTAGCATTGTACTGAAACGGATATTTTACTTTGTTGTAGGGACAAAAGGCAAAGTTAAAACTTACTAGCACCTACATCGGGGAAGCAGTGGGGATCCTAAAATGCGCATTTTGCTTGCTGGAACGCATAGTGTCTTGTTTATTCCTTTAAGCATGTCGTTGATTTTTTCGTGTTCGTTTTGCTATCGGCATGCCACATCTCCAAACGAAGCGGTAAGTGAGTAGAAAACGCGTGGCCAGGCACTTGAAGTTTTGCTGTGGAATATGTGTAATCGTGGCCGCCTGAAGACTCTCAGGCCTTTAGCTGAGAGAGTCCGTGGATATTAACTGCAATGTGCAGCGGTTATTATACATATGTGCCGCTATCGTTGTCTTCCAGTGTACCTGTAGTGCGGAAGTACTACAATAGGGCTTGCTGGTGACTTCAAGAAGATAGCTAGCTGGTGACCCATAAGAGTTTAACACGCTGAACGAGGCAAGGAACCTTTTACTAGTGACGAAGTAAGGCAATTTATCAGCAAATGAACATGTATAAGCTAGACATGTCTGCGAATACATGGGGATTGGGGCTGGCAATTGCGCCGGCACCTGTGCGGCACACCGCCGCGCAGTGCCAAGGAAGCAAGAACCCTGAGTGGAAGAACTTTTCAGGAAAATCGATTTCAGAACTTGAGACTATTTCTGCTTTTATTGAGTTTTTGGTGTTCGTTTCATAAGAGATGCGTCAAAGGTGGATGGTTTCTCATCGTGGGCCCGGTAGTAGAGTAGTCGCAGCTGTTGGCGTTGTGCACTACACTTGGGGGCTGTTCCGGAAATGAAATTCTTTTTCTTTCCGGACCTGAGAGTAGAAACACTTCGTCTAAATGATTCACACCTAGATGTCTTAGCTCAGTAAGGGATACGTCTCCGCAACGGGCGTGTATTCGGTCCCACATAACACGAGGCTTCTACGATGTCCGTAAGCAAAATGCCCAGCGGGACACCTGTAGTGCGCAGACACTACAATAGGGTTTGCTGGTGACCTATAGATGATAGCTGTAGTGCACAGGCACTACAGTGGGGCTGGCTAGTGTCCTAGAGATGATAGCTAGCTAGCGACCTACAAGGGGCCGCGACACTGAAGGAGGACAGAACCCTCCCAATAGGATTAAAATAAGAAAAACCGTCTATTAGTTCTAATGAATACGTGAAATATGTGGAAATCGTGTGGAGACTGGGGCTGGCGAAAGCCAGCCCCAGTCTCAGCGCGGGCCTCCCCCCCCGTAGGGCCGAAAAGGTGAGCTCCCAGAGTGGGGCGAATCGAAGAGACAGATTTGAAACACTTAAGAATTGTTGTATTATGATGGAATAAAGCTATAGTGTCCGAGAAATGGGGCTATGCTAGGCGTAGTTTGTAGGCCTGCTCGAGGGGCAGGAAGCAGCGTAGTCGCAGCAGTAGGCGCCGCGCACTACATTTGGGGGCTGTTCCGGAAATGAAATCTTTATTATTTCCGGACTTGGGAGTAGAAATACTATGTTTTAATAACTCGTGCCTAGAAATCTTTGCTCGGTAAGGGATGCATCTCCGAAACGGACGCGTTATCGGCCCCACACCGCAGGAGACTCCTACAATATCAGTCAACAAAATGCCGAGCGGGACACCAGCCCATCATTGCCACACGACTCCGAAGCCCACCGTGGCAGAGCGGCCGCATGGGCATAAGGAGTCGCCCCCGCAGGTGATACCTTTGCCCAATGTCATGCCAGGGGACAGTCCCTTCACCACATGGGACCAATTCCAGTCAGCATTGAGTGTGATAAGAACTGTAATGGGGGGAACCCTGGAATCCAGCGCAACGACTCCGATACTACCTGAAGACGGCAGCACCATGCAGGCCTTTCTGTTGCGCATCGAGCGCCGGTACACCCAGATGGGATTGGAACCGCGCGAGTGGGGAAATGCACTTATAGACCACCTCGTGGGCCCGGCTCCAACGTATTGGATGTATCTACGGAGAACTATCGACCTAAGCGACTGGGCGACAGTACAGCGCAGGCTTTTGGAGCGGTTTGACAGAACTATGTCACAGAGTCAATTGCTAACGGAGTTGGCTAAAGTACGGTGGAATGGTAACCCGAAGGAATACACGGATCGGTTCGCGGCTGTAGCGGAGCGTGGATTGGGGTTTGCCCCCGACGAACTCGCGGACGATTACTGCACCGAGCTACCGACAGACCTCCATCTTCTAATAGCCAATAACGGACAACTGAAATATCAGTCGTGGGAGCAAGCGGCGACCGCCGCAACACGGCTCGAGCCCAAGCAGAGTGTGCTGGAACTCCGCGAAAGGACCAGTCGAGCCATTAGGGCTGCTGTCCAAGCTAATGGACCTCATGGGCGCCAGGAAGTCGAAAATCGTTCTGGGGAAACCCACGCTAACTGCTTTGAGTGTCAGGGTCGCGGACATCCAGCACGTGTCTGCCCTAGCAAAGGGGAACGTACCAGACGTCCGGGGGAAATCTGCAAGAAGTGTGGCGGGATGGGATACTATGCTCGGTACTGTCCTACGTATGAACGAGGCCGGCCCGAGCAGGTGGACAAGAGCAGTAGAGCGCCCACCCGTCCCAGCACTGAGAAGATGGAACGATCAAACGTGCGGGCATAGGCGTGGGTGAAGACGAGCGTTCTAGGCCGCGTAGCCATGGCAAAGGGATGATGTGTGGGGGTAGCGACAGGTCCTAATGCCATTCCAGTCTCCCTTGAGTTGGGAAACCAACTCCTCCGCACTGCGGGAGGAGCTTGTAAGAGCGATGAGCGCGTGGAAGGGGCTCTGCCGTTTTCGGAAACGCGGCGGGAGTCTGGGTCAACGTCGATCCTGAGTGAAGAGACTCCGGACGCGACGATGAGTAGCAGCAGGAAGTCTGCAGAGGCAAGACAAGACGGCAATAGGTCAGACGCGACAGAGATTGTGCCACACTGGTGGAGGAAGACTTGCACGAAAGAGTCTTACGACCAAGGGGGAGCGTTGTGTTGTGCAGGTGCGACGGCGGTACTTCGCGTTGAGCTCGCGGGAAGTCCTTGTGAGGCCTTCTTGGACACTGGGTCTTCGCAAAGTTTCATTAGTCCTAAAATAGTCGAACAACTGCAGCTGAAAGTGCGGAGACTTCCAAAGGAACATAGGTTCACTGTTGCTATAGGGGCACAACTACGTATTGATCGGGTAGTGACGGGATTGACGCTGTGGTGCGGACATACGTGTTTTTCCGGGGACTTTTTGGTGGGACCCGTCCCCTACGACTTAGTCTTGGGTTTGGATTGGCTGACGGAACACAAGGTGGCCTGGTATTTCCAGTCAGACAAGCTCCGAACCTATGTGAATGGTCAGTGGTGCGAGTTACCGGTCGTTCGGACTGGTGAAACGACCCTGCAACGTGATAGTCCCACCGTAGTCCACCAAAGGACCGGTCGAGAGTAAGCATATGAGATATTGGCCAAACTTCACCGGGGTATGTCAGCCGAGGAGGCGGCCGTATTCTTACTCCCGCCTCCAAGGATGTATAAGTCCCACGCGAAGACTAAGGCGAAGGCGCAGATAACGTCGCTCGTTCGTCAGGCGGCCGACGACACAAATGATCTCAGCACTCCATTGCACTGTTTGCATCTCATACTGGCTCTGCCCGAAGCCGGTTCGGCAGTGCCCTTAAGGCTCTCGGATGAATGGCAAGGCGCGCTTTGTTGCGCGTTGATAGGGAGTAAACCCACGTCCTCCGGCTGCCGTAGTCTTTTGGCCTCAACCACCTCGGTGGCAGCGGAGAGTGATGAGGAGTCTCCCTGGCCTACGGCAAAACTCGAGCACACTCTGTTCGACGAACGGATAAATTCGACAGAGGCGCAGGATATTCCATGTAAGGTTGCCCAGGTGTTGCACGAGTATCGAGCGGTTTTTCCCGATACCTTATCTAAAGGCCTACCTCCGAAGCGCCCTCATAATCATCATATTCTCCTTATGCCTGGGAAACTCCCAGCGCGATCGGCGATATACCGTATGACCCCAGATCAGCTCAAATTCCACAAACAGGAGATAGCTAAACTATCCGACATTGGTTGGATTGGACCGACCTATTCGCGTATTTGCTCTCCTACGATCATGGTGGACAAACGTGGTGATGGCTCCGGGGAGCGGAAGATGCGTATGGTTGTCAATTACCAGGCCCTAAATGCCCTCACGATAGCCCCTGATTTTCCACTACCTCCCATTCAAACCATTCTGGAGCTGCTGGCAGGTGCCAAGTATTTCTCCACCTTGGATCTTGAAGCAGGATTCCATCAAATACGTATGGCTAAGGAAGACCGGTGGAAGACGGCTTTCCGATCCGTTCTCGGATTATTCGAGTACCAGGTGATGCCCTTCGGCCTTAAGGGTGCTCCCGCTACGTTCCAGGCCAATATTAATGCCTATCTACAACCTTTATTGGGCCAGGGCGTTATTGCTTAACTAGATGATGTACTTATCTGTGGTTCTGATATCTCTGGGCACGCTTCTCTTCTGCGACAAGTCCTAAGCATTTTTCCTAGACACCAGTTCTACCAAAAATTCCGCAAATGCAAATGCGCAAGGCAAGCAATTACTTATTTGGGTTATACCGTTTCGGCTACGGGGATCAAACCCGCAGAAGATAAAATCGCAGCCATCCGGCAGTGGCCTGAGGTGCTGGAGAACAAAACGCAAGTGAGCCAGTTCCTCGGTACCATAAACTACTGTCGCATGTTCATGGGACCGGACTATGCAGATGTTGCCCGGCCGCTGGTTGATCTAACGCGTAAAGGCGTCAGTTTCAAATTGACAGAGCTTCACACGCAAGCTGTGCGGCAGCTCAAACAGCGCTTAATCGACTTCACTACCTTACAAGTCCCTGACACGACGAAACCCTTCGAGTTATACATAGATGTGTCTGGTTATGCAATCGGAGCAGTTCTGGAACAGGACGGCAAACCCATCGGCTTCCTCAGCCAAGTCATGAACCCCACGCAACAGAGATAACTCGATCTACGATCAGGAACTCTTGGCGTTGGTCGTGGCACTGGACAAGTGGTCGCACTTGCTCCGTGTCTCCAAGGTAACGGCTTACACTGATCATCAAGCTCTCACTCATCTCCAACGACTCCAAGCATCGAAGCCTCTGCGCGGACGCACCGCCCGGTGGCTAGACTTTCTTGCGGAGTTTCCGGATTTGCACATCACGTATGTTCAAGGAGCGCGCAATCAAGTTGCCGATGCCTTGTATCGCCGTCCCGGCCTTTCTAACACCTGCTCGCACAACACACCATCGGTACCACTGATGCTCGGTATAGGACAAGCGAGCGCGGCTCCCCGCTCTCGTGGCCGGCCTCCCAACTACAGGGAGCTCGCCGGAATTCGTTCGCGACGACCTAGACGACGCAGCATGCCGCCCGCACCTTCACCTGCGCCGCCGGAACCCAACCCAGAGGCGGAACATCCTACACTCACAACGAAGCCACCAGCTGACCCTCCTGATGTGCGCCATTGGCCGCAAGCTTACTGGAAGTGTCCTGTTTTTCGCGTTCCCTACAAAGCCGCAGCAAACCAACCAGGAGAAGCTCTGCAAATCGAGTTTTGTAATCGGCAATTTACCTTTCGCTACGTAGAGCCTTACCTGCGCATCCGCGTTCATGGACTGTGGCGCATCTGCATCCCACAATTCCCTGAGTTCCTTACTCACGTTCTGCATTCACATCACGACCATGTCACAGCCAGCCATCGAGGCCAGAAGAAGACCTTTGCGGCTCTCAACAAGCACTACTACTGGCCAGGAATGCGCGCCTACACTACTGCTTATGTTGAGTCATGCACTCACTGTCTGTAGTGCACAGACACTACAATGGGGCTGGTTAGTGCTCTAGAGAGGATAGCTAGCCAGCGACCTACGAGGGGTCGCAAGACTGGAGGGAGACAGGGCCCTCTT